GCCTCCTCTGAACAAAAAATTGTCTGGGCAGTATCATGCAGCGTCACTGTGACAACCAGTTACATTGAGGGGACACTATTTCTGCAATGGAAAATTAAATATGCTAGTACGTATGAATTTAAATACTAGCTCCTGCACCCCAAAAAAGCATACTATAGCTAAAAACAGTCATTTGGGATTTAGCCACATCCATAGCCAACAAACAGTGCATTATTTGGTTGCAGAAGCCAGAATTTCAGAACTTACATAGCACAGTATTTAGGGAGTCCGGACCCATTTGACACTCACCTGGTTTTAACACTAGCAAGCAATCAGACATTTGAAGAGTGTAAGAAATTCAAGTGACATTCTTTAGACTTTTATATTGCCGTTTTACCATGGATCATATGGCAAGTACTTTAATTCAAGCCAGTAATATTAAGGATGGAGATGTTCAACATGCTTTGCTATCTTTTAGCCTGACCAGCCCATTACCAGTACTTAAGAAAATAAGTTGTCAGCCCATCAGTTTAAAGAAAAATGGGTTCTGACATTCAGTGGACCAGGCGAGCAGCATTAGAGTCAAGGATTTTTCGTGAAGTAGCACAGTAGTACCGAGTTCAGTTGTCATGAGGTGGTCATAGGTCTGTGTATATTAAAGTAATAAGCCACAAGAGGCCATGCATTACTGCGACTTTATCATAGGAAGAGTGTTCTTAAAACTCCCCTCGCTGTGAAAAAAATCGCAGTAATGCACAACCTCAAGTGGCTTATTGCTTTTATAAAACAGCGGCCAACATAAAATATGATAAAATAAATTATTTTCTGAGTAATTTTGTAAGTTATTATTAATAATAATTGACAAACAAGTATTTCGCCAAGAAATGTAGTTCCTTTAGAGTATGGTATTGTTGCCAAGCAGGACAGTGCAGCGCTGACACAGCACTCATTTCCGAGCATGAGGTAGTGTGAATAAGGTGCAAAGATATTTAACAGCCTGTTATATTAATGATGGAGTTGTTTAGGCTGTTGGCTAGGTTTTAGCCTGTTAGCTAGCTGACCAGCCTAGTTCTAGTTAAGAACATAAGTTGCCAGCCCATCAGTTTAAACAAAAACCGGGTTCTTACTTCATCAATAGGCTTGGTGGTCCAGGCGAGATTAACCTTATTTCATTTACAACACAAGAGTTTTTTTCATGCCGTAGCACAGTAATACAAAATTCAGTTGATGTGAGGTGGTCATAGGTGTGCGTATATTGTGGACTTTACAATGGCTTAGAACGCGGTTGGGCCAATCAGATTTTAGTACTGGAACTAGCCGTTTTATAACATGTATTTTACAGTGGCTTTAAACATGGCTCAGCCAATCAGATTTTAGAACCCTGTCTGTTTAATGAATTGTATTATAAATCTATTGCCAGCCATGAATATACACTAGTGCAGACTCCTCAGTCTCCTCATCAATGCGATTTTGATCTTTGTCAGCATTACTGAAGGTATGCCAAACGTTTCAAGCCTGTGCTTCAGTCCTGCACCTATATAGGGCACCGACCTCTGTGATCTGCTATTGTATTCAAAGCTTATAAGACATGTAACATATTATTTACTTTGTATGTTTCATTTTTATTCAATTACAGCTACTGGGTGCTGATTGGTTGGCAAGCTGATTTATTGATTTACAACTTATTGACTGAGTAAAGCAGTTTGCATTCTCTGATGTCATGTATGTACATACAGCTCTATCACAAAATCCTATAACTGGAGTTGAAAACCGTTAAAAAAATATAACAGCAGTGTTGAATTATTTTATTCTACTGAGAAATCTGCATGTAAGAAAATGATGAACGATTTACAATCTGCAAGTTTGCACAAAAGTTCCACTGGAATCCATTCATATTGGAATCTCTTGCAAGTGCCCTCTACTGTCTGATTAACCCAAAAAAGATTACTGAGCAGCACTAGAAATTCAGCCTGCCATAAAGTCATCACTTGCAGTTGATTTAGTCAAGGGCATATGTTAACGTTCTTCCCTACTGCAAAACATCACCAATGCATTGAACGATGGTAAACTAGTACCGCTTCAGTGTGGTGCTTTTAGTGCGGTCTTGTGAGCTGCGCTTTTGCACGTTTGTGAAATGTGGGATGCACTTGAGTACTTACCGAAATCACATGAATGTGAACACAAGTACACAAAGCTGCAAGTGTTTTCATAAAGTGATATTAAAATAAAATAAATAAAAATAAACAAACAAAAAAGATGGAACCCCCTCTTAGGGACCTCCAAGCAACTACTTATAGCGCTTACAGGAAGAAATGGCCCTGCCAACATGTAAAAATATTATTTTCTGCATCTTCTTCCATTTTTTCCTTTTTTCTTGGTCTTTTCTTCTCATTCAGGCTTTGGCACACTTGTTTACCTCACTTTCTCTCAGTTCATACACCGATCAGGCATAACATTATGACCACCTCCTTGTTTCTACGCTCATTGTCCATTTTATCAGCTCCACTTACTATATAGGTGCACTTTGTAGTTTTACAATTACAGACTGTAGTCCATCTGTTTCTCAGCATACTTTTAGCCCCCTTTTACCCTGTTCTGCAGTGGTCAGGACCCCCATGGACCCTCACAGAGCAGGTACTACTTGAATGGTGGATCATTCTCAGCACTGCAGTAACACTGACATGGGGTGGTGTGTTAGTGTGTGTGGTGCTGGTCTGAGTGGATCAGACACAGCAGTGCTGCTGGAGTTTTTAAACACCTCAGTGTCACTGCTGGACTGAGAATAGTCCACCAACCAAAATATCCAGCCAACAACATCCTGTGGGCAGCATCCTGTGACCACTGATGAAGGACTAGAGGATGACCAACACATACTGTGCAGCAGCAGATGAGCTATCGTCTCTGACTTTACATCTACAAGGTGGACTGACAAGGTAGGAGTATCTAATAGAGTGGACAGTGAGTGTTTAAAAACTCCAGCAGCACTGTCATCTTTCTGTCTTGGCACATTTCCTTGTTCTTCTTTTTCAGCTCAGCTGTATATTGCTCACCTGTGGTCACCATAGTTTGGTGTTGGGGTAAGATTTGAACTGAGTATTTTCACTGCCTGTTAAAGTGCCTGTTCATAGTAAAAGAGGACTTGCCCATATGTGCACTGTTTTCGCATATTCTTTTATGCCGACGCTACAATATGTTATTTAAATACACGTATTAAAGATTGACACAGCTTCAGTTGGTTCAATTAGTAAAAGTGTGATTTTGTTGTGTAATTGCAATGCTTAAATGCTTAATAAGTAAACAGAATTTCGTGGTAATAGTGACATGACCGCGCAAGTACTATATTTTCTCATTTACATTTTTATTTAGCCTCACACATGAGGATATATTAACGGAATATCATTTCTACAAATACAGTATTAATTTTAGCTGAAAGCTTAAACAACTCTCACGAGCTTTTTTGTTGATCACTCACCTCCATCAGACCTGTGCTTTCAGTCCTGTCAGTCTCCTTCAGCTTCTTTCTCTCCTTACCTGTTTGGTAACATGTTATTTTATTAAGACTTACAAAAAGTCAAGGATTAATACGAAATGAATCAGTTAAATTTTTTTGTTTGTTTGAACTGGCAAACATCTCACCTGACTGGCCTGTGTGACCCTTCCACCAACATTAACTTGTATATAATACATGGCTAATACTTGTGTGATTGGAAAAACTGAAGAGCAACATGAACAAATTTGATATAATAAGCTGTCAATAACGTAATTTATATCTCTTTCGCTCGTTCACACTCTATCTGTGAAGTTTTTTAAATTTCTTTTAATACCTTGCTTGTCAGCTAACTAACGCTAGTGCTAGCCACATAGCTAGCCTAACCCCGTTTCTTTAATTTACCTCAAAAACCCCAAGATAGTTTGCTAGCAAGCTAACAAACAGGCCAATACAACCTGATTGCCACGAAAACAAGACTAAAAATACATGCCATATATATTTTTAGTTTGTAACAGACATTTACATAATTTACCTTGTATGTTAGTTTTATAATGACTGCAAAAGGGCCTCGACATAAAGCTGCAGTTGCTGCATCCATTTCTAACAATTGCTGCTCCTGTTTACTGTGGTTAGGAGTCAATTCCAAAAAGAATCGATTCCTCGATTCCAGGCGTTCAGCTAAAATAATTCAGCTCCCCAAATTCGTTGCTAAGGTAACATATAATTAATGTTGTACTCTTTATTTTTGCCGTTTGTTCTATGTATATTAGTATTTGGAATCAAGATTATGTGGAACGGACATCTATTCTCATTACTTGGAATCAGAATCAGACTCCTCTTCTACATTTCTGGCATCAACAGCCCTGCTGTTTATTCAGTGACGAAGCTAAGGTTGTTAATTCTGGAGCAATTTTTTTTTCTTGAAATGTGGTCTCACCCACTGGTAATTAAAACATTATTGGTTTATGATTTCTCAGTTAATTCCTAGTTATGTTGGCAGCTTAATCTTTTTGATCTTACCTTTTGTCTCCAATCAAAACTTGCCGATTAAATACGAGTACTTCCACAACACATGCAGAGTTTAAACACAAGCACGATGATTATATCAAATAAAAATTACGGACAAACTACAAATTACGAACATGTATTTTTTTTTTAAGGTCCTAAAAATCATTAGGCCTTCTCTGAAGGCCTATAGGGCCATGGGGGTTCCCCACTGTATATATTTTAGCAGATTTTACCTTAATCAAGAGCAATTTACAATGTTACATACACGTAACACTAGGAATCTTGCCATCAGAAATGTGCTAAAAAAAATTCATTTAGCAATCCTATCGGAACAGGCTTAATACACAAAAATATTAATTAATAAAATAATAAAATAAAATAATAAAAATCAAGGCCTCAGTGTATGAATACAACTTCTAAACACAAATTATAGCAATATGTTGTACCAATATTTTTCCCACCCCTATTATTTTGACCCAAGCCCACTGATATACAATTAAAGCAAATGAACAGAACACACAAATTAATACTTAAACATTAGTTTACTTGTTAAACTGATTATGACTTTTTGTCACAAAACCCAGAGTAGATGCAGCATAACTATACTCCTAAATGTTTTACAAAAATAAAACACTTTCATGTTAATTTTACTGATTAACAAATTAACCCTATGCTTTGACATCAAGCATATTATTTTTTTATCATCTTCCAAAACATGCATTTAGTCCCTGCATTTCTCCTCATAGTCAAACAAATGATTTCACCCACTTGGTCACAGCTGCCACAGTTCAAAGTACAGAGACAACAACCCTTGTTTAAGACAAGATACACCACAGTGATTTTCAAGCACTAGAAAGTCAAGCGGGTTTGCCAGATAAATAGAACATAATAAAAGTTAGGGCTTTAAATAGGTAGGACCATGCAAATGTGTAGCACTAAGACACTAATACTCCAACCAGCCTTCAGACCCAGGAATAGATACTGTTTTCAGCTTAGCTGAACTCAGGCTATTAATACACGGGTTCAGTTAGTGAGAGTTTATCATTCAAAAGGAGCGGCTACCCTCCTCTGCTCTGAACAGCTGAACACTGAGGATCCACAGAGTGGTCCAGCTCAGAGCAGAAGCATCATCTTTGGTTTAGAGGTTAATAAGTGAAGGGTTTATAGCTACGTTTAGACAGGTTGGGACACTTAACCCAGATTTATTGTTTTTTCCCCTCAACAGATTTAACTGCTTAACTACTACAAACTACTGGCATGTGGCCATTTATAAAAATGGTAATGTACTTACAAAACTGTGACTTCTATTGGGATGGAAGCAAAAAGTTTTTCCATGTAAAGCATTTTCCATATAAAGTCACAGCCAAATTTTTAATACTTTTTTGAATTAAGGAAAAAAAAAATCACGGCTTACAGTTTGTCCCTCTTAAACTTCAGACTTGATGCAACCAAGAACTGGAAAACGTTCAGAATGAGCCAGTTTAGCTGATTTAGCAGATTTCTACAATTATGGTCGACAGAAACTGCACCTTTCAAGTTGAAAGTGTTCTGATCCTTTTCCAAAAGGGAAAAATGACCACCTATCTAAACGTAGCGTAAACAAAGTCCTGGTAGTATATGAAGGCAAGAGAGAATGCTAACACTACAAAGGGCAGATATAAATACTCTTAGACCAATACAGTGGAGAAGTAGTTTAGTGTCCCATTTTGAGAGCATTTGAAATTTCATTGTTTCATTATTAGGATGAAAGCCAAGAATAGGTCATTGTGGTGTTCAGGAAACTTTAGATTACTGCATACTGTACCACAGCTCAGCATAGAACTATGAGCCTTTAGCATATGACTCAAGTGAAGTGACGATCACTAGCACAGATTTGTTAGCTTGTAACACAAGAGCCCTTATACTTTCTTTTTGTTAACGGCCCCCCTTTTTGCCCTGAATTAGACCAATGATATATATTATTTCTCTGCATTCAGAAAAAAAAGAGAAAATCAACCACAAAACAGCAAACAGGATTCATCAACTACTATGGTAGAGTCTTTGAAAGATGACAAGGCGGAAAGTAGGGGACAAGCAATAGCTGATTGTCTCCTCCACCTCCTGGACACGGCGCTGGAAGCGACAGCGGTCTCGAGCAAATTCTTCCCATGGGCCATGGCGGTCCTCATCACTGCTGGCATAGAATTCCTCCACCTCCTCCACGAATGTCACCTGCGCAAAGACACAAAATGAAGAGCCACCTCTAGGCTGAAAAAAGGAAACTAATGTTTCTTTTTAATAACAGCTTAAAAAGAATGATTACCATACTGTATAAAAATGTCATGTGGTATTTGAATAAAATATGCTTTGTGACCATTCTGAATATGTCCTCCCAAACTGAAAACGTAGGAAAAAAACAAGGCTTCTATCAAATAAGCTGCTGCAAGAAAACAGTGATTGATGAGCACTGTTCAAGAGTGAATGCATAACTACTCAACTGCCACACAAGAGCACTGCTTATTTAAAAATAAAAGCCCATGTCTGCCTTGACTGCCAGGAGACTTTGTGACACTTATGACCCTGTATTTTCAGCAATAAAAAAAATAAATAAGTCAGAAAAATGTACATTTGCCATCCCCACCACCCACTCCTCACTGTTGCTAAGTAACATTTCAGATTCCCCTTAAAATTACCAAGGTATAATATAAACAAAAGTGTAGGCCAGCAAGATTTCCCAGCCAGAGGGGCTGACGGATGATGGATGGGTCATTCCATCTCGATGTCTGGGAATGTGCATACTTCTAGTGTTGGGCTAATAGCTATGACTAACGTGGAGTCAAATGGAAAATGGGCCACAGAATTGCGTGATAATGAGCAACTGGCAATGCACTCACTCATGCCTCCCTGGAGAGTGTAAAATGGAAGCGCTGCATCAGATGATCACAGGGCAAAAAAGGAAAATGGTCTGCTTGCACTGCTTTACATCATTTTCACAGCTAAGCCTATAACAGACACTCCGCAGCACAGGGCCAGAAGTGAGAGACCTGTCAAAAATCTAGGCCATAACTATGGATGCAAAACATGAGGCACGTGAAAATACATTCAAACAGCTGGAGGATGTATACTTAACACTAATTACTGCAGACTGAACAATATGACTATAGGGCTGTATTATATAAAATAAAAGGTTGGTGGGGCTACCTGGGCAAAGGATGAGGGTTAGTCAGGGAGCAGAGAGCATTTTTTGTAAAACATAAATTTAATCTGCATTCTCCGAAAAGCAACGTGAATTTTGCCCAGAGGGCACATCCTGTACAGGTGCAGAGAGCAGACATTCTGTAATGTGTCTAATTCAGAAGGATATTAATAAATTGAGTTTAAAAGGCTTTACACGTATGACTGTGTGTATGTGTGTGTGATAGTAGGAATGCATATTTTATTCACTAATGTAAACGTTTGTCTGATACTGTGCACTGTGAGCTCCTGTAACCAAAACCAAATTCCTTTTATGTATAAGCATACCAGGCCAATAAAGCTTGATTCTGATTCTGAATAAATACAACCTCAAACTGACATTTACATTAACTGGGTAAAGCAAGGCTTCCCAAACCTGGTCCTGGGTCTCCCACACTATACACATTTTGGTGCTTTCCCTTATCTACCACACCTGATTCAACCCATTAACTAATGAACAAGCCCCTTTGTGCTGCGACAGGTGTGCAGATCAGACAAAACACAAATTTGCAAAGCATGGGATCCCCAGCACTGGGACTGAGAACCTCTGATGAAATCTGATAATGTGAGAAACTGTGCTTTATGAAACCCCCTGCAAGCTTCATGACTGGAATACACACCATTAGACAGCATGATGTTGATTTGCTAGGTAAGAGACAATGTAACCATTTCCCATTTAAACCTCCTCACATAACTCCTGTGACAAACAGGCTAATTACAACATCAGGATTAAAGAAAATTGGCTGCTTACTATTAAACTGGTCCAAGTTCAAATGTGGACTTTTTCTGTAAGTTTACAGGTTTTTACAGAAAGCACACTAACCTTTTTCAGTCTGACACATCTGGAACTTCCCAGCCCTTGTACAGGAGCTGCCTCAGAGAATCCACTGTCCAACCTCTCCTCTGCCTCCTCTTTCTTATAGATTGGAGGCCCAACAGGTGCCCCCTTCTTACAGCGGCCCCTGGCTGTCTCTCGAGTCCTAGTTGGGGCCTGAAAGTTTAGGGGATTGTAAGGGTCTGATGAGCTGCTAAAAGAGTTCCACAGCCTTACGTTCTCTGCTTCATCCATCGAACAAGTCTCATCACTGGACTCCTCTTCTTGGGGTACCAGGGGTGAAAAGGAAGAGACAGAGGAGAGCTCATCCTCTGTTGGGGACCCCGAGAGGGGTGATTCCACTGCAGCAGCACTGGCACTGGGGGCTGTCCGTATAGGGGCAGTAAAGTTACGGGGGTTGTAAGGGTCCTTGTTTTGGCACAGCGTGTTCCATAGCCTCTCACTCTCAGAGTCAACTTCATCAGCTTCTGAATCATCCTCATCCCCATCATCGCTATCATCTAGGTCCTCAGAATCAGAGAAATGGGATGAGCCTTCGCTGTCAAAACCGTCATCATCGTCGCTGTTCCAATCACTGTCATTTTCCGAGTCAGACTCATCACTGCAGGGGCTGCCCATGATGTATGCAATCGCCTTGTTCTGGCAGCGAGGAGTGGACAGGGAAGCAGAAGCCTCTTCTGCACGTGCAGGCTCAGAGGCTTCCTCTTTCTGTTCCTCCACTTTGCTCCTCACCTCTTCACACTGAGGACGCTCTACAGCTTCACCCCCCTCACGCTCTGTCCCAGGGTCACCCCCCTGAGAAGAAGCAGGAACATCTGACTCCAATGACCCCTGCTTCTCACCTGTGAGTTTCATATTAAGCTGCTTAGTGTTTGCGTTTTCCTCCTCAAGACTGGAGTAGCCATTGTCTTGATCCGGGGTCAGAACCGCCACCTCACTGCAGGCGGCGACAGCTCTGGTACCAACCAGATGTGAAACAACACTGTACTGGTGAACTGATGGGAGCTGTTCTGAGCTTGGGAGAGATTCTGGCCTGGACATGTGAAGGCCTTCATTGTCCGCTGGCTCTTTGAAACACGGGGGTCCAGCGCTTTCTCTGTGCATTGAGTTCACATCATCACCGGCAACCACTGAACCACACTCAGCTGCGTGACAATGGCCGCTACTGTGACGCTCTCCACAATGCTGCCACTTTGTGTCAGTTGACGTTCTAGTCCGTGACGAATTTGGCACCACGTTTTCAGGTCTGTCAGTAGTTCCCCACAGCCCGTCCCACCACCAGCTGCTGGCGTACCAAACGTCCGGCTGGCGTTCGGCACTCCTCGCGTCTTTTTGTGCTGTGGTAGCTTTCAGCACACCCTGGGTGAGGAAATTTCTCGCCGCTGTAAGGTATCCCGCTGGGGCCGGGTGCTGTGCTTTAAAATCCGTACCAGCAGCGTTTTGAATTCCCAGCTCCGCCAGAGAGTCTGCCGTCAACCAGCTCAGAGCTTCCGCATTTTCGTTCTGACAGTGTACGTAGGCTACGCTCAAGCGAGCCGAACGAGGGGAATCCGGCATGAGGCTATGAAGCGAATCCCCCATGTCCATTTTTGACTGTCCAGACTTGCTGTCCCAGGGTGCCAGGGCCGTAGCCTGCGCTCTTCCAGGAAAATATTTCTGCAGCAGCGACCACGCAGGCCTAGACACCATAGACAGCACGCTAATCCAGGAGCTTTCAGGTCTAGCCACGTTCGCCCCGTCTAGGCTAGTCGTCGGCGGCTGAGGACCCCCGCTGGAAAAGTGCTTCTCTGAATTCATACTTCTAAACATTCTTATTCTCTTAAGTGTTAAACAACTTAGGGCTGGCAGGAGAAGCGCGAGGCTTGCTAGAAAGTGAAACGACCACTACTGGAAACTTGGTTAGCTTGCTAGCCAGCAAAAGTTACTTCTCTTTTGGCACGGTTAGATTTACTGGCCAACTACAAAAAAAATAAAAGGTAAAAGTTCATTTAAACGTACGTTAGCTCGTATTTACCTACCTACCTACCGTTAGCTGAATAAAATACATGCGGTTAAGTATGGCCCCAGCGGCTAGCACGAGCTAGCAAGCAAGAAAACCAAGTAGATACTTTTTTCCACGTACTGTACTGCTAAATGTTAGCTACCACAAAACTGAGAAACTTAACTTGAACGTTGCAGCTCAGAATACTGTCCATAAATATTGACATACACTGTAATGTTGACAAATACCATCTCCAAAGCGTCCATAGCGCTTAAACAGCAGTGACATCTTGCCGGTTCGCTCTTCTTGTAGCCCAGCAGTGAAAGCAGTCATCGCCCATATTGGCCCCGGAGCTCGTAATGTTCATATTCACAGCGGCAGACAGACAGGACTTCTTTCGTGTGGAACACTTGCTAGGGACGGGAGAGAAAAGAGAAGAAAGCAGTACGATGAAGGTCGAGTCAAAACTGTCGGTATATTCCACGTCAGACGTCGACATGAAGGCCATTTTGGCTTCTTAAGTTGGTCCCGTAGATAATGTAGAAGCCCTTCTTCCGATAAAGCGCGCCGAAAGCGAACGTTAGCTACTTAGTTAGCGCGTTAGCTAACGGAAACCCTTGAGTTCGTGTGGCGTTCTTTTAAATACGAAATGCTTCATCAAATTTGAACTCCGGGAAAGCGCCGATATTAAAACGCAACAACTCAGCGAAATAACGCTTTGAAGAGCTTTGAATAGATGTAGTTCTGACTGTTCCTCCTTTTCGCCCCGTCTCGAAGGCTAGCCGAGTAGAACCCAGCGGAGAAACAAGGGAGATTTCATCAGAAATACTAAGGGACCGTCGCGGAAGTCTCGTAAAGGAAGCGAAGCTTAGGGGCCGTCGTAAAAATACAGTCTCACGTGGCAGGTGCATGCACGCACAAGAGCTGTTATATAAGCAATACATTGCTGACTTCAATGCTATCTACAGAGCTCTATAGGTTACATGCAGTCCTTTGCAAAAGATTTCGGCGCTCTTTGTCAAAGTACATGTTTAAGTGATTCTCTAAGTGAAAATACGCACTATCCTCTACAGAAAACATACATACTTACACATATTTCAACACACAAGTACTGTTTATTTGCTGAATTTTGACCTAAAAAATGAAATGTTGCCTGTGCAAAAGTGCTGATTTGTGCTGATTTGCAAAACAGTATTCAGTTTTAAGAACCAGCAGGGCAGCTGGAAGATACAAGTTCTGCAAAAAGAATGAATATTGGAAGATACAAAATATACATTCTTTTACATACTTACCTGCATTAGGAGGTTATAAATCAGGGCTGCCCAAAAAGTGTGGCCTGTTAGGACTTTTGATCTGTTACCCTTGACCCCCCTCACCCAATGAGAGAACATATTTATGTTGTATACATCTCATTAAATTCTTGATTTCAGTATTGTATATTTGAATGTTTTAGTGACAAAATATAGTATAATATTATAAAATATATTTTTAAAAACTACCTACCTACTTAATTTTGTATATTTTTGTCTTTTTTTGCCCTTGGCCCAACACATTACACATTGGGCCTCCCAAAATAAAAGTTTGGTCACTTCTGATGTAAATGATAATCTTGAAAGTCTTAATAGATAAGTAATGAAATAAAAACAGTGCACATAATAGACCAATCTTTAATGATATAACTATAGAATTGATAATTACACTAATGTTCAAAAGTTTGGAATTACAGTTCAGAAATTTAGAATCATTGTTTTTAAGTGATGTAACATCAGTTTTGCTGCATATGCATACATAACATGATCCTATTATGGTACTGGTATTGACGTGATGTGCAACATCATATGTTTCAAGTCATTTGTGGTGATCAAATTCTGAGTCAGATCATGTAACATGAAATAATTATTATAAATATATAATTATGCAAATAATGTTATTTTAACTTCTTCTTGTTCCCAAAAACTTGGAACATTGAATAAAGCATCTAAAATCTGTTTGTTCTTTGATACTTCAATGTGCATTTAAGTTTTTATTAAATCAAATAACTCTAAACTTTTGAACTGAACCATATAAGACTCTAAAGCTGGTCAGTACACCAACAGAGCTAAATCATTTCAGTAGTCTAACCTTTTGAAGTATTATGAAGAATGCATTATGCCCTCATTTCCAGAGTGCCTCTTTCATTAAAAATGCAAGGACAGGGTGCTATCAATTAAACATTCAGCACATCTTTCGCAGCTCTTGCACTATGTGGAGTTATTATATTTTCAAAAGCTTACATAGGCTTTCAAAAGCTTTTGTTTCTCCAGATCTCAACTGTAATTTTCAGAATCCATGTTCAATGCATGCGAGAACAAGCAATTCAGTCCATAATATGGTTCATCTTGAACAGTTAATCATGAGGGAAGGGGCCCTGTGTTTGGATAATTAACAGCTTTGTCAGTCAATGCTAGTCACCACAGGACATTATTAATGATAATGACTATAATCAAGACAAAAACAAACGCCCAGAAGCAGACCCTAGATGAGATACACAGACCTGATGTAATTCTTACCTCAGTGGGATGGTAACATAAACCCTGGGTGTGGTTCACAGACAAAGGATTGAGGGCTTTTCACACAGGGAAGTTTTACTGAACTGAATCTTTCATAGATTAACACAAAGCAATAGCCGGTCAATAGCCTTTTGAGCATTAGAATTAGTGTGAATGTGCCTAGATCTGTGCTGGACATGCAGTACTTGGTGGTGATTATGACTTCACAGCACTGCTATTTCTAAGGATGATGAACAAGCAATGTGGTGCAATGACAAGCAAGACACGTTAGCTCATGCTTATTTGCATTCATGCTAGTCTGCTGAACTGCCACATACCATTGCTAGTCATTTAGTTTCTTTTGAATTCAAGTTTATTTTATTTAGTGCAAATAATATTAGAAAAACATGGTCAAAAAACACAACTTGTCAGAAAATCAAAACAAAAAAAGTGGGATAAAACTATAAATTCACACAAAAATGATATTCTCAGTATGTACAACACACTAAACCTGTTCATTTTGAACTTACATTCGTTCCTATTTTCTCTTCAAAAAGGGCCGTGGTCACTCAAAGTTTACTCAATTCAGGCTTGGCACAAGAGGCCAATTCCCTTTGCAAATACTTTGCATAATCACAGCATGTCTGAGTTCTTAAAGGCTTTGTCACGCAAAAAGCGCAATTCATCTCCTGGCATGTTGTAAAGCCAGTAATTATGTCTTTAAACAACTAACTAACACACACAGATACATTATACAATCAGCTACTTCAAAAAAAAAAAAAAAAAAACTTTCAAACTTTCAAAAGTAAGTAAAAGTATATCTGTGACAGAGCACTACAACCTCAGGCAATGGCATGGCCACGGCATGGGACAGGCTTGCAGTGGTTGAACTGGTTTGTTTGGTTCTGTTTCAGGTAGATGACTGCACTTCATTTATGGTCAACCACATGTTAGAGCACCATGGCATACAGGCCTGCAGTCAATACTACTCTTGGCAAAATGGCAAGCATGGGGATTCAAAACCATCCAATAATATTGTTGTTGTAATATTTTAACAACACTTTCAATACCAAGCAGTTTAAAAATGTAGGTGGATTTGGAGCAAACTGCAGACACATGGGATTTTCACTCTAGTGTATTTCCTCAGAAAACGATTTAAATGATTTGCTTCATCAAACCTGAGCCCTTCTGTTTCTTTTAAAAATAGTCAACAGCAAAAACTTTCATGTTGCAAAGAGAGAAACAGGAAAAGACTGTGGATGCGAAGACTCGCAACAGAAACACAGAAGCTGTAGTCAAATATTCAGCAATTTCATTTGCATGCATCCACGAGGAGGAAAAAAGGAACCATTTTAAAGGAGAGAAAGTATGTTTAACTTTTTTCCCAACAGAATAATTTTTCCCTTCTATCTCTCAAACCATTTAAACATGTTAAACGAATGAACATTAAGAATACTCAAGTCTTAAGGCTTAATCTTTGCTTCCCTTTGTTTCAAAAAATAAATAAGACATTCAAAGAAACTGATCCCAGAAAAAAATGTAAGCGCAAAGTACTTGACAGCAAACAAGGCCAAAAGTGCAATATTTATCCAGTAGCAAATTTCACAGCATGCACATGAACCATATTTGATAGATTTTTTTTTAGTGGAGAGATTGTTCATAGGTTGAGAATGCTTCTGCACCACAAACTCAAACGGCCTGCTAAACGATCTTGCATGGTCAGATGAAGTTTTTAGAGCACCTGTAAATGAACTTGTGTGCAACAGGGCTGGGCGATACAGTCAATGTGGAAAGTGCAGGATATGATAGACCATAAAGTGCCAACGTGATGAAAATGTAGTGATTTCAAAGTAAAACTGTTTTGCTGATGCATTAATGAATATAGTGTTAAGATGAAGCCCAAAGCTGGAGCACCTGTAAAGCATATGTTCAGTCTTATCCACAAGGGCCAGTGTGGTTGCAGGTTTTCATTCTAAACAAGCAGGAGCACACATGATTCCAACTGTTTAATCAGTTAATCTGTCTTCAAACATTTGATCAGGTGTTCTCTGACTTAAAACATGCAGCCACACCAGCCCTTTACAGCAAAGATTGGACACCCCTACTGTATAGGATTTTATAGATAGAGATTTGAAAAGTAATGTAATTAATAAATGAATTAATACATGTTGAATTATTACATACTTATTGAGCATAAGATAGGTCAAGCTGGTGGAAATTCAATGCACGGATAAAGTATTTGAAAATATTAAGTCATGGTTTAATGCAGTGATTCTGTAAAATTGTGATTTGAATTTTTGTCTGTATCGCCCAGTCCTAGCACACCATCACCCATAGCCTCCTCTACATTGTCACCTTAATTCTTTCCATTTTGTGCCTTTCATTTGAAGGCATTGTTGTCAATTGGACTGTTATAGTCTGATGTCAACTGAATCTGCTGAATTTGAGCTATAAATCTACATACGCCCCACCAAACGCAGACTTTTCAATATACCAATCATTGCATTTGTAAACTGTTCAAAGCTATATTTGTCAATAAAAAGCTTAACAAAAGAATAGTTAAGAAAAGAAGCTCTGTTAATTGTCTGTTTTTGTTATTTTCACTAAAGCGATTGGACTGAATTAGGCCTCACGTAAGTACATACAAGTTTGCCATGCTATCTCAAGTGTTTTACTGCATGACCAGATAGATCCCTGCCACCATTAATGTGAATGTTATTTTTTTCTTTTACAATACTCCATCCATAAATCCCTTTTACTAAGTAAAATCTGTATAATTTATATAATCACAGAGACATAACAAATGTCACAACAAAACCTAGCTCAAAATCGAGCCACAATAAAAGAACATCTTAAAAAGAAATAATTTAAAGTTTCATTTGATCTCTCTCATCAAGAAATTGCAGGGTTGTACAATGGGCAAATGGACCACAAATCCTAAACCTTCTTTCGTAATACATCTTCCGGATTCCTTGAGAGTCAATAAATATATACGTATTATTTTTTTCCCCTCACTATATCCATTGACCACAGACATTTTGGCTATGTCTATCCTCATGGTCCAGTGTAGTGTGCAGCAACCCCACTACAACTACAACGTCCAGTGATGGCTCTCCATCACAGAGTCTACACATCTTCAGGGCAGGAGAATCTGCAACACACACCCCCACTGTGGGGAAAAATATCTCCCTCTGAGCAGCTGGGCATCTCCAACTCACCGACCCAAACGCAAAGACAGACACACCTACACACTCCTCAACAGGCTCCACCATAAAAGTCAGATTCCCTTATAGGGACACCCCAAAATATG